AGAAAACTTTTTTATTTGAAGAGAAGCAACGTTACAATATCCGAAGAAATAGTTTAGATCATGCCATAATATGAAGAGCTTTTATGCTATAAAAAAAAAAACACCTGTAAAGGGTATTATAGCTTCGGATTAGTCGAATTTTTTCTTGTTGTAAATAATTTATTAAAACTTATTTTGGTAAAATTAGTCATCGACTATGTCTAACATACTCAACATTAGTTTTATTTGGAGAATATTAATTTTTGTTGAAATTTTTTGGAAGATCTACTGATTTAAATTTATATCGCGATTCAGTACGAAGCATCTAGTCACTATTTGACATATGTACTTGTATTTCTAGTCACAAAATATTGTTTAAAATTTGTCAGCTTATAGTAAGCAGGTCACAAAACTAATAAGAGTTTTTGTTCTCCATTTTGGGTATACTAACAAATCACTTATAGATATTATAATAGATATTGATCGAGTATCGGTTTTTATATTTTGTAATTATTGTAATGGGTTCGTTACTATGTGATTCAAAGTCAACTTTTTCACTTGAAAATATAATATTTTTTATCCACATGTTTATTTTCATTCAGTTTTTATATGCATAACTAAATAAGGAATTGTAACAGCTGATTAGACCTGTTTTCAATTAAGATAATATATAATTTTTTCTAATAAGTTTTAGAAATGTGTATTTAACCACCCTATATTATTTGTAATTATTCTCCACATCTGCCCGTAATGTTTAATCTAGCTTTCTACAATCCAACAAAATACACGCTGCGGTCACAACGAAGCGTTGCGTGTTTAAATTCTTGCCGACTGAGAAGAAAAGCATTAATTAATCGATTTCCTATCGAATCAAGGCGTGCAACACCTCAGAAATGGTGACATCAATAGAACCAAACAAATATATTACCAAAAAAGCATGGTGGTGTATAAAATAATAACAAATTGGATAGTAAAAGAACACGTAGCTTTTATGTTTTTACTAATCAACCTTTTATTTTTACTCTACAATTTCATTCTATACGCATTGTCCCAAAACATCGTTCGGCTAGTGTTGCATTCATATTATTCTTAGTTTTTAATGCTTATTGTCATTTAAATTAATTCAGTTTAATTTTTAATGATTTCTCACAGCCGCTCAGCCGCGTTGCTCTTGCTTTGGCATTATGCTATTCCTATTTTGTTGCTGCCACGCTTCGTTGGTTGTTGGTCAGCAATTTTATTCTACTATTGCACGCGTTTCTGGGCCTTGGCCGTTCATTGTCCAACAACATGGCACGAACAAAGCGTGCACTACATTTTGTGCTTTTGTCTCGGCGGGAGTGTATTTTGCGTTGCGCATCGCTTATCCGCGCCTTGTGTTCGATTGAAAGCGCTAGTTGAACATTCTTCGGTTGAAAAGCATAATATTAAATTGTGCCACTATAGGTTACCCACCAGGCTTGCGTTTTAGTTTATGCGATTCGCAAGGCTTGACTACTTTTAATTACTTATTGCTTTCAAGTGTTAATTTCTCACATTTGCTGCATATTTCCATATTCATATGAGTAACTAATTACTTATTACCCTCGTTGTGTGAGCTTAATTACGGCTGATGTGTAATGAACAGTAACGTAGAATTAGCTGATTAAGTAATTGTAGCTTTAATGGCATGTCAAGCGCTTGCTATCGCGCATATGCGAGTGAAGGACATATTTACGTACATATGGCATACATATATATATATATCCATATTCTCATAAATATATAATGACTGAAGTAGCTGCGAAGAAAATAAAAACTGATTATAATTTGCCCCTATATATGGTAGTTCTGCAGGGTTGTTCCGATAAAGAAACTTGAAAAACTTAAAAACAAAAAAGGCTGAATCTATTTATACGGATACTTTACGGAAAATTTAGAATAATAATAATAATTATTCGGCTGGGTACAGTATGTTGTTAAAATAGTGTATTTAAATAAATAATGTGCAAAAAATGGTTCTGGAAAAACTTTAGAATAGCATCTCCAGAATTCGGGGCTAAAATGGGCATAAAGAGATATTTGCATTTAAAGACTAAAAATTACCCAATTTAAAGTATAATAATTTTTAATTCATATATAATTTCTGATTTATATTAATTTTTATATACATTAATCCTTTACTAATTTCTACACGTTTATTTGATATTACATAGTGCACAAATAGATTCAAATCATAATTAAAAGTTTTCTTAAATTCGACTTATTAACACAATAACAAAAAGTAAGAAAGGGCTAAGTTCGGATGTAACCGAACATTTTATACTCTTGCAAAGTCAAATGGTATACTCGTTTGAGATTTCTTTGTGGATTGACAATTTTTGGTCACAAGGTGGCATACTTTAAACACAAAGGAAAATGAAAGAATTAGATGGAATTTAAAATTATGTGATATCTCTGACGTGTTTCGTGCTTGATTTATCGAGCTTTTAGTAGTTTTTAATAGTACCGTTATATGGGGAGTGGGCTGGGTTGTCACCCGATTTCACCCATTTTCACACTGTCCGTCTCGTCATCCTGATCATTTAGATATATGTATGTATATAACCCTATATCTAACTCGAATATTTTTTGGTGATTCGAACAAATACTAGGTGAACAAAACTATTATACTTTGTAGCAACATGTTGCAAGAGTCGGTCCAATGACGCGATGTCTTTAGTCCTTTCGCAAAAAGCTTTTTTTTGAGATTTGTGTAAAGATTTCAAGAATCTACATCGTAATTAATTGATGGTTCGCGTACCGTTAGTCCTCCATGACAGCAACTAACATGAGAATTGCAACTCTGCAGCGACCGTTTGCTTGCCAAGAAGGCGGAAAAAATGATTGCTGAGCTTGGTACGTAAAAAGCATACTGTTACACTCTGTTGAAAGTTCTAAGACTATGTTTTTAATATCTGTCTACGAATAGACCTTTAGGATCTAGATAAATTCTGCATCCGATCAAAATAGATTGAAAAGAGCAATCTCTAATATATCATATTATAAAAAAAACAACAGAACTATAGTAAACTATAAGCGGTGTTTAATTTTAGCTTTAAGTAAAAGGTTAGGGAATTTTATTTACTCAATTCGAGAAAATTGGAATTATTCATAAATGGGATCGAACTAAAAATCTTTAAGAGTCTTAATTCAACTGTTAAATAAATGAAATATTATGAAATCCGCAACCAAGTAAACAGGTTAAATGAGGGCTTACGTGAGAGATACTTTTTGAGCAGAATTGGTACCTGTCTAAAAATTAATACCCTAACACAATTGTTTTTTTACTCTTACGTGGTTCAACTTAAATTTAATTATATATTAATAAATTAATATGTGCGTTTAAACTTCTCTAACCCAGTACCGCAAATGTCAACAATGCTGCCAAATCTCTTTAAATTCTTTAGCTCACTTTTATTAGCTTGATTGAAAAGAATCAAATGCAAGGCGGCGCCAAGACAAGTTTTTCCAAAAAAAAGAGGAAGTAAGCTGAGATATGCTTATGTACCTATTTATCGTTGGTGAACTGCCAAAGTGTTATCCAAATGAATAGCTTTCAGATGCAATCAGGCAATCATAGCATTTGCACTACTCAATAGATTGAGTTTACTAGCTCTGCCATTTTGTAGAGATTACATAAACCGTTTTTTAAGTAGCTGTCATGTCAGATTTTGGCAAACGCGGTTAATAGAAAAAACATTATTGGGCATAGAGTAATTTACCGCTGTTGTGCCAAACGTGCCAAGTGAAGAATTTAGTTTGCCACCACCCCATATTTTTAACACATTTTAACCTCGTTGTGTGTACTATATAAGTATTTGATATTTGTACATGGCTATGCTACTACATATGTACATAAATATTCCTTCAGTCGTACTTTTATATAGCCCGCATAAAATTTTAATACCCCGATCTTATTGCTCTGCACGTTTATTCCTGCTTAGCAGTGTTTTCCTGCCTTGTCACGTTTGTGTTTTTGTTGCTCTTTGATGACATTATGCCACGACAGAAAATTTTAGTCATGAAAGTGTCATCGACACGTTTCATTCTTCCATACATCAATGTTATTTACAAACAAGCTTGTATTGATGATCGTTCGGTTTCTACATATTTTCTGCGCACGAAGCGGGTGATTTGTTTGCGCTGCGTTTCTTTTCATTGTAAGAACTCTTCCATTTCGTGTAGGAGACTCTGTGTCCATATGAGCATAATATATCTTTTTATTGATTCTTTTCGTTGTGACTTTTCCTTTCTTGTTACGTCTGTCCATTCGTAAGCTGACTTTATGGATATCTGTTTTCTTGACCACATTTGGCGTCACTTTGCTATATTCTGCTGTCGTTGGCCCTCTTTATGTACACAAAAAAAAAATAAAGTGAAGTTCAAGTTGACACTGCCGGTGGCAACGATGACGCTCACCACTTAATCTATACAATAAATATGCGAACTGTTCAGCTTTATTTGTTATTATTGTTATCAGTTACCTGTCTTTGCTTATTGGATAGGTCGATGACAAATGCCAATTGAAAAAAAGTGTTCGAAAATACTAAGTTTGGGAAATAAGAAATAAATATTTATAGCAAGTTTCTGATCTAAAATTTGGTAAAATTTACGTATTTGATCACCAGAAAATGTGAAAATATCGATTTAAAGCATTGTTGCAATGATAATAGTAATAAAATCTTGTTTGCTTGATTAATTTTGGTCTTATTAGCTTTTATATAAAAACTCAGCAAACAGAGTTACCGTAGTGCAAAGTTCATTGTCTGTCCCGCACTTTTAATCAGCTAGAATTATGCAACGTCGCGCACAATTTCTATATTTTTTATGGAAATTAAATAATGAATTACTTATGGATATGGTAAACGTGATTCTTGATAGCTGTCGCGTCTAGCTAAAGCAATAAACATTACTATACACTAATACCAATAAAGAATTATATTTGTTATTGTAATCGAAAAAAATTTTCATTCATCGTTCTCGCTCTCCTTTACTTCCAGGCACTCCGCTTGCTTACGGGGCGACTCAACCCGATGCCGACCAGAAAGGACCCGTTTTCCTCAACGAACCCACCAATCGTATTGATTTCTCGAACTCTACCGGCGCCGAAATTGAATGCAAAGCTAGCGGTAATCCTATGCCTGAGATTATTTGGATTCGTAGTGATGGTACTGCTGTTGGTGATGTACCCGGATTGCGTCAGATTTCATCCGATGGCAAATTGGTATTCCCACCTTTCCGCGCTGAAGATTACCGACAGGAAGTGCACGCTCAGGTCTACGCTTGCTTGGCGCGTAATCAATTCGGCACAATTATTTCACGCGATGTTCATGTACGAGCGGGTAAGTTAAAGAGGTTCTAGAGAGTGGTGAGCGCAATGAGCGCTGATTTTACAATGCGATAGTTGGAGGACTTTACGCAGAGAGCAAAAAGTTCAATTCTGGTTTACTCGATAGCATGGATAATATGATTCGAAACTCTTATTTTTTGTTTGTTGAGAGAACCCACTTCTTGGACTACTTAATATATAACAAACAAAACGACGACCTATCACTAAGAATCATAATAAATTTCGAAAACAGCACGTTACTTGGAAGATCAGATTTTGTAGTAAATTTAACATAGTTGCTTATGCAATAGTTTCTCGCAAATGTCATTTAAATTTTAAATGTTAATTTTGAAAATCCCTTGTGATTTTCATATATATGTATTATACATATACAGACATAGAAGGGTCTAAATCTTGATATCCTAAAGCTTCTAACACTAAGGTTAATTATGTATATTTTACTACTACAAAGGCTTTGGATGTCATCCTCGATATCCGGCCAATACATATCGGATTTAATTGAAGTATGATGCAATACTACGAACAGCTAGCTTATGGTTTTAGGCAATTGGAGCCAGACTCGACGTCACTATGGTAATTTACTTGCCCTTGTTAATAAACTCGGACTAAATTGGTAACGCGACCGAGAAAAGGAGATCCACGAGGAATTAAACAAAACATTTTCATTCCCCAGTAGAGAAGAATGGACCAATGGTTTATTGATCGACAGTTCCAACGGCAAAATTTACATATTCACCGACGGATCAAAGGGTGAAATAGGAACAGGAGCGGGCTGCTTCTGTGGAACACACATACGCAGAACGTAGCTTGAAACTAAATGACTACCATTAAGTATTGCAGGCCGAAACTGTTGACATAACAGAAGGTGCCAAGTGGGCTTCTGCAAGTCCATATATCTTCGAGTGGACAGCCAAGTAGCAATTAAGGCTATCCATAGCGCTAATACTAAGAGTCACTGCGTTAGGTTGTGCAACTTATGTAACTATGTTATTATCATCTGGGTATCCAGTCATATTGGAATGGAAGGAAATGAAAAGGCAGATGAGTTAACTCGGTTTTCCCCATTTCAGCCCCATTCAGCTACTTTAAGGGTTGTTTAAAGCAATAAACCCAAGAGGAACACCTCAGGTTTTAGTCTAGCAACACAGGGCATAACACAAAGTTACTTTGGTGTAATGTTGATGTGGACAGACCAAAGAGCTTCTACTTCTATGCAAATGGAAAATTGGTAATATTGTAGAGGTCATTACAGGACACCTACACTTAAGATCTCTCGTGCGAGCTTGGAAAAGTGGATTCGGCGGAATGCAGACCATGCGCGGAAGATGATGATACGCTGGAACATTATCGTTGCGAATGCACAACCTTCAGCCGGTTAAGACAGGATATCTTCCACGGCTCACAATGATCCAAGTTAAGGTACATAGGGCAGCTGGAGTGGGAAAAATTAGATATTTTACCAAATCCACTGATTGTGGGCCTAATGATAGCTTAAGTGCGGCCGTCTGTGGTCTGGTGCTCTTGCGCCTCCCTCTTCAATCAACCAACCAATCATGTATACTTTAGCTGTGTGATGGAAACCGAAAAATATCCAGAAAATACAATATAAATCGCACAACTTATTTTTTTTCATAGTCGCATCACGGTCAAATGTTATAAAAAAATGTGCTATTTGACAGCGCTCTCTTGAATCAAAGAGTTTCTATCATATTATTCATGCTTCGCTGAAAGCTATTTGTTAATATACTAAAGGGCATAGATATCTGAATGTGATATTTATTAAAATCGAGCGCTGTAAGAGGAAAAATAATACACAAAAATTTTTTTTTTTTACTTTTGAAGTAAATACAAGTGGAGTTAAGACAAGTGCAAAAATAAACAAATAAAATAAATTATTTAAGAATTAAATTCCGTTAAATTCTAAGGGAAATAAAATAATTTCTCCAATAAGTTCTCCAACTATCAGTGACATATTTATGTATATATTCCCCCAATGAAATTTATAGGTTCGAATTCAGCAAACTACTTTCATCGTTGGCTAATACATACTAGGTGCATCGTTGGATTTTTCCGTTTTTCTACTCTGTCTTATGTTCCACTTGTTCATCTGTACTATTTCATCTAACAACCAGCGTTGCGTATGATTAATTTCAGATTTTATAAAATGAACAGTAATACGAAAAAGCTGATACATGCCTTTTAATTTACTCTGGCATTTCGTTTGAGGTTTAAACTTAGCAAATAACATTAGTTGTTTTCAAATAATATTTTCCGTATTGAGCGATTCACACACCTATCATTTTCTAGCTATGCGCCATCATTAATGCTGATGATATGATTGTTGTTGTACCAAAACAATAACTCTTACTCATGCATTGCCTCTTTATCGAAACTTTTATTGTAACTGCAGTTAATTGGCAACACCATATCACACATAATGCAGTGACATATTACTATGCTGCGCATATTACGAAGCGCAAAGTTGATGCACAGCAGCGTAGCATTTGCTTTAAATTAGCATTGTCATCGGCGACAATGCGTATATTATGCCAGTGTTGCAGCGCCATATTTCGTATTACAGCAGCCTTTTACGGTTAACAATGAAGCTTCCGTTACTGTAATGAAGGCGGCGCTGTTTTGAATGTATGTCTTTTATAATGATAAGTGCGCCAAATTATGAAATGAATGCTTCGGCAAATTTGGTTGCGTTTACCAGTTCGCATAATAAATGAGAGTTAGTGGCAATGCAGTGTTGCAATTTCGATATATAATTATGCGCGAAGTTTGCCAAAGAAAAGTTTACAAATAAAAAATTGCACATTTTAGATGTGTTTTTTAAGGGCAAGTAGAGTTGCTTTATAAAATACTTATGAATAAATTTGCAATGTACAATTAACCGGATAAAAATTTTTTTTTTATGAAATTGTAGTTAAAGCCCAATTATAATAGTTTTCGTTCAAAGCGCTAGTTAGTTAAATGCCATGCCCATTTTTAACTGTATTTAACCACGAAAAGTTCCGCACACTTAACTCCACTCCTAAAGTTTCGTACGGATCATTTAACTAATGTTCTACATATAAAGCTCGCAACTTAATTAAAATTTGTTAAAATTAACATAAGTAGTCAGGTAATAGAGCCAGACGCGTATTTTCATGCTAAGACTATTCTATTTTTAACATTTAACGGAAAAGTATAATTCAATTTATCACATTTTTTTGGTAGTTAATGAGAAACACGCCTATACAAGAACAAAAAGCACAACTATACTAATACTACATTAGCGCGTGTGTAGTGTTGCGCAGCTGAATGCGTGTAACAACCTGTAACGAGCTCTAACCAGCCTAAGCATATTTTGTCGCCATAGCGCGTCACTTCCTTCTACAATTTCTTTGACCACTTTACGCGCCCACTAACCTATTTACATATTTATTTATGTGTCGCATCAATGCTGTGTCATCATGTCAAAGTATAATTTAAATGATTATAAATTTACTTAAACAAAGTGTCATAAAAACAAGCATTTGGAGAGGTATATACATATTAAACGGAAGCAAACACATTGCAGCTATTTTGACAACTAAAGCGACTAATCGCCGCACGTCACGTCAACATGAACTACATGCAACACATCTTAACATGGCTAATAGGCGCATAGTAAACGAACTTACCTGGCAAATGAGTACACAACAACGCGGAGAAATATTCAAATGCGCGTAAGTTAAGCTGAACCAAATGCTGGAAAAAATGTGAGGTGTGTTCTGGCATAAACTGTTGATGTTATGGCACCTCACCCAAACTGAAGAAAGAACAAGAATATGCTGAAAAAAGTTAGAAATGTAGTTAATTTTGTAATTTAACGCCCATTTTAATCAAGACAACGCAAATAGGTTAACAGAAAGAAGAAGTGGAAATGTAGAGCTGAAGCACTAATGAAAGTAATTTAATTTTAAGCGCAGCGACAGAAAATTTAGAATATTTCTGAATGAATAGTAAAAAACAAAAAAAACAGACCAAATAACAAGAAAAAACGTTAACTTCGGTTGCACCGAAGTTATAATATCTATCTCAAATAAGAAAGTTTTCCATAAAAGAACTTGATTTTGATGGGACAGTTTGTTTGGCAGCTACATGTAAGCTGTAGTAATCTGATCTGAACAATTTATTCGAAGCTTTTAACGTTGCCTTGAACAATAATCTATGCCTAATTTTGTGAAGATGGCTTTTGTGAAGAACTTGAATTTGATCGTCAGTTTATAAGAAAGCTATATGCTAACGTGGTCCGATCTGAACAATTAATTAAGAGATTCTTGCGTTTCCTTGGATAATAAGACATCCACCAAATTTGGAGTAGATATCTCATCAAATTAAAAGTATTTCATGCAAACACTTGATTCCGATTGCTCAGTTTGTATAGCAGCTATATATAATAATATAGTGGTCCGAGATCGGCGGTTCCGACAAATGCGCAGCTTCTTGGGAAGAAAAGGATGTGTGCAATTTCAGATCGATATCTCAAAAACTGAGGGACTAGTTCGCGTATATACAGACAAACGGATAGGGCTAAATCAACTCAGCTCGTCACGCTGATACTTTATAGTGTCATCGACATTTCCGTCTGGGTGTTACAAACTTCGTAGCAAACTTAATATACCCATGTTTAGGGTATTAAAACCAAGACATTTTAAGCGATAGAAGTATAATTACTACAAAGAATGAACGTAATGCCTATTAAAGCCACATGCTGATGAGTGTTTTTAGACCCGGCATTTAATTAGAATTTCCATATTTTCATTCATCACCTACAGAATAGGATATGCTAGGAAAAAAGGTTAAGTGCAGTTGCCGTGTAATATGCGTTCGCTACAAATTAAGTTATAAACGGAATAATTTTATAATTCTCGCTGAATGTGAACATCACAAACGAAATGTCAGTCAAATCGTGCTGGTCAACAAAGATTTCTATATTTAAAAGCTTATAGCCAAGAGGTAGAA